CATATAGTGAGTCTTTAGATGATCTATTAAACATAAAAAATTTTCTTTTAATTTCTAATAGTTTTTTTTGTCAAAAAATTGACAAAAAGAACGTTTTATACTTTTATCATTTTTCCCCTTTATCCTTCCCTTTTGCTCTATTTGCTTTGAAAAACTCTAGATTGTGTAACTTTAATAGAATATAAAATTAGCTTGAAATATTTAATTTAATTTAAAGTAACTTATTCTTTTACAATGTGAAATATTAAAACTTTATCCCAACTTCATAATTTTCTATTAAGTAAAACTTGCTTATTTTGTTTTTCATTTACTATACCAATTTTTTAGAGGGTTTTGAGTTTGCTACATATTGTATTTAGTTGGCTTTTATTTTACTTTTTTTGTTTCTAACAAATACAACTAGGCAGGTACTAATCACAAAAAATCTTAGAGAGATTGTATATTTTACATTAAGTATAACTAAGTTTACAATTATTTTTATCTTTTTTAAATTTAAAATAATAAGTAAATATTTTACGTGTAAGGTGTGAATTTAATATTAAGCATTCACACATTTGATCCCCCTCATGCTACATCCTAGCTCCACTACTGCACATTTATCATTAATCATTCATTTTTATTATTGTTCATATGTATTGTTCATTCATGCGGCTGCTCCATTTTTCCCAACGGAAACTATATTTTGATTATGCTTAAATGGATAACCTCAGGATGGAGCTCAAAAATTTCAGTTCTCAAAAATTTCAGTTAGGGAGAGCAAAAATTAGTATTAAAGATTTGAGATTTTCAAAGTATCTTTTATGATATTAATTCATTTTTAAATTTTTTTTTCTTACAAAAAGATTCACTTGTGATCTTTTATATTGATATATTTTTAATAAAACTTAAAATAAATATATTTATTATAATAAAAAATAAAATATTATCATAATAAACCATATAACGATCAATTGAAGAATGAATTAAAAAAGAGAAATGTGTTTGTTAATAAAATTTCTAAAAATTATGAAGAAAAACATCACAAAATTATATTGTTTCAGTAAACTAACTTTGAAAAAGATAAAAAAAATTAGAGTAGAAATGAGAGTGTTTTAATTTTATTGAAATAATGTATTTTTTAGAGTATTTTCCTCTTAATTTGTTTTTGGAGGTCGTGTTGATAAATACTAATATTATAAAAAATGATAATGATTAGTATATTTTTTGATTCAACACATCTATCAATACCACTGGTTCAGCCATTAAGTCTTGCAAGTGTAATTTTTCCTGCCTTAAATTTAAATTTGAAAATAATAATTTCTTAATGAGTATATTGTGAAGTGTGTTGAATTAAAATGTGGACGATGCACCAATTAGTCCTACAAAAAAAACTAAAATATTAAAAAATACTAGAATATTTCTTTTGGAAAGTGAACGCTAATTTTAATTGATTTAACACAAAAAATAATTATAAATTTAATCATGAAAGGTAAAAATGTACTTCAATGTCATAAAAAACTTTAAATTATTATATAGAATATTACAAAAAAAATAAAGAATACTAAAAAAAACTGTGAATTTAAAGTTGATTGAATAAAGAATCAAAGTTTTCTTTTTTAGGATTTAATAGATAAGGAAATGTCTAAGAACCTTAATTCCTAATTAATTCAATTGTCATAAAGTTCATTTTATTTAAATCATATCCTTATTTTTTTGAAAACTTTTTATTAATTTAATTAGATCCTAAATATTTTCTCTACATTTGAAATAATCATTGAAATTCATAATATAAAAACAAAATTTTTAACAAATAAAAGTTAAAGTACCATATTAAATGTTTTTCAAAAGTTTAGGGGGGCGGTTTCTCCCCCTTGTCCTTCAGTGGGTCCTGGATAACTCGATCATCCAGGATTTCTTATCAGCCCCTTATTCTCATAAGCAAGAAGCGTCCCTTGTGAAATGAAAAATGAGACCTTTTCATGCATCGGTCAACACAGGGAATCACGAAGTCTTAAAACGTGATCATCAGGTAAGTTTGATAGTTTGAATTGATTAAATTATTGCGTTTGGGAGGAGTCATTTTTCTTCCACCTAAATCTCGTTGTTGCCATTTGAATGTACAGCTCTCTACAGACGTGTGGTCAAGCGATGAGCTAACATTTCCTCATAACAAAAAGTAAACAAACAAGTTGATATGCAAACTGCTTCGCATGAAGTATGCTTGTTTGTGAGAAAACTGTTCTTTGGTTTCCTAAGTATACTTGTTTGAGAGAAAACTGCCCCTTTATTTCCTTGGCCAGCTGCCATAAGTCATGGATTCTGGAAAACTGTTAATGAAAAAACTGCTCCTTTGTTTCCTCTTTCGGTTCTCTGTTTCAATTGACACCATAACACCAATCCACTCGGTTAAAGAAGGCAATATTATCGTCTCCAGTGGGAACGTTTTCGCTCTTGGATTCTTCAGGCCTGGCAGTTCAAGAAACCGTTATATCGGTATCTGGTACAACCAAGTTCCAGAACAAACAGTCGTATGGGTTGCAAACAGAGACAATCCTATCAGTGACTCATCCGGGATTCTGTCAATCGACAATCAAGGAAACCTCGTGCTTCACCAAGGCAATCAAACACTACTCCCTCTCTGGTCTACCAATGTCTCCATCAATACAGGCTCCAAGAATACCGTAGCACAACTCTTGGATTCTGGGAATCTTGTTCTGTTTCAGAATGATACTAAAAGGACTCTGCTGTGGCAGAGTTTTGATTATCCATCCAACACACAGCTTCCGTATATGAAACTGGGGTTGGACCTGAGAACCGGCGTTAATCGGTTCCTGACATCATGGAAGTCTCAAGATGACCCTGGAATTGGCGACTACTCCTTTAGGATGGACCCAAAAGGTTTCCCTCAGTTGTCCTTGTACAGTGGATCCTCGCGTTGGTGGCGCGCTGGGACGTGGACAGGGCGAAAATGGAGCGGAGTACCCCAAATGGTTCGGAGTTATGTCATCGTGAACGCTACCTTCATCAACAATGAGGATGAAGTATCCATTATGTGGGGTGTCACCGGTGCCTCCATCCTCACCAGGATGCTCGTGAATGAATTTGGAGTTCAAAGGTTTACATGGGATGCACAAGACAATCGTTGGATCGGGTTCTGGTCGGTTCCAAGGGAAGAGTGTGATTTTTACAAGCATTGTGGGCCAAATTCTAATTGTAACCCATACCCTGCTAACAAGTTCGAATGCACATGTTTACCAGGGTACGAACCCAGGTCGCCTCAGCAATGGTACCTAAGAGAGTTATCAGGTGGGTGCATAAAGAAGCGTGATAACATATCCATGTGTCATAGTGGAGAGGGGTTTGTGAAGGTACCACGTGTGAAGATACCAGATACGTCGGTGGCAGGCGCCGACCTGAACTTGGGGTTGAAACAGTGTGAAGAAATGTGCTTGCGTAATTGTTCTTGCATGGCTTATGCAAATGCATATTATCAGAAGGATGGAGGGACTGGTTGCTTGATGTGGCATGGTGATTTGGTGGATACCAGGACCTATATTGATAATGGACAAGATTTGTACGTAAGGGTTGATGCAGTTGAGCTAGGTGAGTCTATTTTCAGCTCTAGTCTCCAGTTAGGCATCTATTGATTATGCATTTCTTTTGTATAGAAGGTGTACTTAATTAGTTTTAGTTGACAATTGATAAGGGTTGATACAGGAATTCGATTTAACATTCTTTCATGGTCCTTGACTTTAACACTAAAAATCAAGATTCAGCATGTCTTAGGCTCTTAGCTAATGCATCTTAACAAATAATAATGGCTCTACATTTTAAGTTCTTTGATTTTCTCTTTGCTTTAGCTCAATATGTTAAAAGGAAGGGTCCACTTGACAAGAATGGAATATTGGCAATTCTGATAGTTTCAATGGATGCAATTCTTTTCATAGTCGTGGTCACATGCTATTTGGTAAGGAGGAAAAAAAAAGGTAATCCACTTTCTATATATAGGTTCTCTTTTTGGCCATACTTTCTACATATAGCATCATTAATTCATAGATTTTGTTTAATTTGTCATATACATTTCAGCTAAACCTTGAAGATAATAGTAGATTTTAGCATTACTTAAATTCTTAATGTTCCTCGTAGCAGGGACAAGAAGACAAAAGAATCATCGGTCGAGTTCATTGTTCTTGAAGGACTCTTTCAAAACAAATGATTTTGATGAAAATAGCAGCGCTGATTTGCCATTCTTTGATTTACGCACCATTGCTGCAGCTACAAATAACTTCTCTCCTGAGAATAAACTTGGAGAAGGTGGCTTTGGCCCTGTTTATAAGGTATATACTTTTCTCCTTAATAACTAGAGAGAATATGACAACTCTAATGAGATGATTCAATGGTTAAGAAATTGAGATTTCAAATTAGAGATCTCAAGTTCAAATCTTGAGTAGAATGAGAAGAGATTTGAGAATCCCTCTCTTATATAACTCATAATCAAATGTACTAAAAAAAAAAAATTTAGAGAGAATATGGCAACACTTTCATATTAAGAATTAAGGGAAATATGTAAATTGTTAATTAATTTTATGGTAGATACTCACCGTAGCTTTTGATTTGTGAATAATGTTTTCAGGGTGTACTATTCAATGGAAAGGAAATAGCAATCAAGAGATTATCGAAGTATTCGGGGCAAGGAATTGAAGAATTTAAGAATGAAATTACGTTAATTGCTAAACTTCAACATCGGAATCTTGTAAGGATCATAGGTTGCTGCATTGAAGAAGAAGAGAAGATGTTAATTTATGAGTACCTGCCAAACAAAAGCTTGGACTCTTTTATTTTTGGTACGTTCTTGTTCTTTTTCTAGTAATTCTATATATTTGAACAAGAACTATACAATAAGTAGAGGATAATTGCCCCATTTCTCCATTGAATCCAGTTGAAACAAGAAAATCATTGCTAGACTGGAGAAAGCGGTTCGAAATTATATGTGGGATTGCTCGAGGAATCTTGTATCTTCATCATGACTCAAGGTTGAGAATAATTCATAGAGATCTCAAGCTTAGCAATGTTTTACTAGATGCTTTAATGAATCCCAAAATTTCTGATTTTGGGATGGCTAGAATTTTCGGAGGTGACCAAATTGAAGGAAATACTAAACGCATAGTTGGAACATAGTAAGTCAAATTTGCACATCAATACTTAAATTCCCCTAGACATATATGAAACTTATCTTAACATTTTCTTTTTTATAATATCTATTATTACAGTGGTTATATGTCTCCAGAATATGCTATGAAAGGTCTATTTTCAATTAAATCCGATGTATATAGCTTTGGAGTTCTACTATTAGAAATTATCAGCGGCAGAAAAATCAGTAGCCACTATGTTGATCAAAGCTCAACTTTAAATTTGATAGAACATGTAAGTATACAGTCATAATGATGAATTCGAAAATGAAATATTTCAAAGTCACATGATATCTTCCTTAAGTGTGGGATCAATACCTTATTAATATGATGCATGTTAATTTCATAAGTATATAGGATACAAATTATAATTCTTTATTTTTTGCAGGTTTGGAACTTGTGGAAAGAAGGTAGGGCAATGGAGATAGTGGATTCATCCCTAGGGGAATACTCATCGTCTCTGGCAGATGAAGTTTTGAGGTGCATCCAGATTGGGTTGTTGTGTGTGCAAGAATCCGCGGCGGACCGGCCGACGATGTCTACGGTTGTGTTCACGTTGGGCAATGATAAAGCGGTCCTTCCTCCTCCGAACCACCCTGCATTTGTGGTGAAGAAGGCACACAATGTTGATGCAGGCGGGGGCATTGGGTCTAATAATGAGGTGACTCTTACTCTGGTTCAACCTCGGTAGAGGTTCTTAATCAAAAAGTACGTACCACAAATATTTTTGTTTATATATAAATGACATAATATATATCAATTCCAACTACTAAAATTTTTAGGAGCTTCACAAATATTCAAACAATATATTAATTTCGGATGCTTATCTCAGATTGTAGAAATTAGCATATTTCTACAATTCGATTTGTATATTCAATTTACGGCCATACACTTGTATATTTATCATTTTTTAGGAGGTACTTATGTATTTATTGGTTTGTAAACGTGAGCAAGACATGTAATTGTAATTTAATTTTGAGTTCTTAAATATCAAGCAACTATATTTATTAATTGTAATGAAAATGTAACATTAGGTCATATTGAAGATTTTATTTTAACTATATATAAAATTGTTATAATAATAAATCTTAATTATATATAAAATTATTGTAACAATAATTTTTTAAAAATTTTTAAATAAATACATATTAGATTTTGAAAAAATCCTCAATAAATATTCAATAAACTTAAAATATTTTTTTAATAAATATCCATTAGGCTTTTTAAAAAACATCTATCTCAATAGGCTTTTTAAAAAACATCTATCTCAATAGGCTTTTAAAAAAATACCTATTAAAAAAATAATGTAAATCTAACATAAATTAAATATTACAATCCAATATTAATAAAATTTAATTTCTGATTAATTTTAGAGTTTATTTAATTTATATCTTAACAGTACATGTTAAAGATACAATAAATATATTTTTTGTCTTAAAAATACAAGATAAAAAAACACTTAATTGTTTTTTCATTTTCCTATTATAAAATATTTAGAACTCTATACTCTTGATAAAAGTGTCATTCTCGATCCATGTTCGGTACATATCATGAAAATATCGATGAGAAAAGGCATAAATAAAAATATTAATTTTATATTTTTATTTAAATATATTAATTTTATCAATTTTTTAAATAAAAATATTAATTTTTAATTTTTTTATTTAAATATATCAACTTTTAGTTTTTTATTTAAAAATATGAAT